GAGGACATCAGCAGCGGGGGCACCAGAGAGGACACCATAGAAACGCGCGCAAACAACATAGCGGGAGATAGAGCCCTTCGCCCCTGAGCATCCGAGCTTACAACAGACATTCTTCTGAAACGCACTAGAAGTGGCCCAAGCTCCACATAGGGTCTCAAGGGCAGCTGCATTTTGGGACATCGGGAGCTTTAGGAAGCGATTTCGGACATCACCCCAATCAACGCCGTTCATCTCGGCGGACTTACGGGGGGGGGGCCACTTCTTTAGACGACGAGAGAAAGCATTAGGGAGCCGACCAGGGTAAAGCAACCGCGGGAGCCCATCGGACATAGAAGCCTGAAGCCGCCTCTTCTCTCCGGCAAGGGCGCCACGACCAATTATGAAAGCACTCTGGACGGCAGGCCCCCATTCGGGGACGTCTGGGGGCCCCTCTCAAAACTTCGCGCGGCACTTCCACAAAAGCCATGGACCCCCTTAAGCGCGGGCCCCCCCTGCCAGCGGCCATCAGAGGGCGAGGGGGGGGGGAAGGGCCGCGCGGTCGGCCAAGATCGCGCGGGAACCACGCAAGCGCGGGAAAGTCAGCGACGAGGCTCTCAGGACAGAGGCGAGGTTAGAGACCAGGGCAATGCAGAACTTCGCCCCCCCCCCCCCCCCATCTGTGCAAATTGAAGAAGACTGCTCTGGACATACAACAGCGGGGGGGCAGCAGAGACAAAGGCGCGGGCGGCGCGCCCGCACCGAAAGAAGGTTGGGGGAAGAAGAAACTGGGAGACGTATGAGAGAACAATCAGTAGTCTCAAGTTGCACGGAGACTCAGCAATATCCGGCGGCGGTCGCATCCTACCCAGCGCGCGTACACGATCGGCATGTTTCTGGATGGAAGCAGACCAGGACTCGCCAACAACACCAGGAACCATCCAAAGCCCGAGGTATTCAAGGGCGGGGGTCACCTTGAACTGCTGCCACTGCGGGATGTTATCTCGAAGCCATGCACGAATATGAGCAGCTGTCTCGGGGCCCCACTGGGGGCGCAGAAGGGACCACGAAACATGGTTGGGCCTTGCGCTCGAGCGCGGCACCTCTCTCCGCAGCTCTGAAGACAATGGCAATATGTCTTCAGCGTTGCAAGCTGAAAGAGGACGGCGCCGACGCCGCCAGCACAACATCTCACTATCCCTCTGGCAGGGGCATGAATCAATCGATTAAACTGTAGCATGAACGGATTGGTGCTGAGCGCGCAGAGTACTCCTGAAGCAGGACAGCCCTTGCAATGCCAGAGGAGATTTTGAATGGCCATGCGCGCGGACTGCCATGCTGCGCAAAGCAGGGGGGGTCATAGATGAGGAGGAGGAGGAAGGACATCAACGGGGGAGGGAGGTCGAGGGTAGCTAACACCTTAAATATCCACTCATGGGCGATCGATGGGAAAGCTCGCCCCAAATCGCACGAGACGGGGACGGGCATGCGGCTGCCAGCCCTTTCGTTAAGCCCAGTTACTCTAGCCCAGACGCAGAGCTCTAATATATTATCCCCGTGGTTCCCCCCGCAAACAAACCCCGTTGGATCGGATCAACGACGCGGAGGGCCCGCCGAGATAACGACTTTACACAAACACTCGTGAGCAACTTAAAATCTGCATTTTTGCAGTCCGAGCGGGCGAACAGCGGCGGGCTCACGGATCAGTACATCCCCTCCTGGACCGACCTCCACCTCCTTCGGAATGAAGACACCCTTGAGCTCGTTGAACGCGCAAAGCATGGGGCTGCCAGCGAGGACCCATATGACGACCTGCTCGAGGACCACGGAGCCTGACGGGCGGTGGCGCCACGCAGCGCGTGGGGGACCATCCGGGCCTGGCGCGCCGGCTGGCAGGGCGAGGAGAAGCCTGCCCATGCTCCTCTTCGACGGCGGGGCGAGGTCGCTGAGGTCAGCGCCAAGACCAAAACGGCGAAAGCACACATCGGCAGCTACCGCGTCGATCGGCTTCGCAGCAAAAGCTCGCCCCCAGTGGCGAGCCAGACTCCCAGGGACAGCCGCAGGATCAGTTGTAACCTCGTCTTGCTGCTGGAGGCCTCGAAGACACAATCGGCGATTGAACGTGCCTCAAAGTCGACCCCGTCTCTGAAGTCCTCGAAGTTTGCGTCTTTGTTTGGCTCTCTCGCTCTCTCTGGTGGCTGCCTGCGCACGTGCTCGGGCCTCTGCCTGAGCCCGCTGATTAACCTCTGCACGCAACAGTGCCAAAAATCCCGCCGGCTGCTCCAGCTAGACCTCTGGGAGATCGGGTCGAGGACGAGGCAATGGCGAGCGAGGGCGTCAGCGCGAACGAGTCCGTCTCCGACGACTAATGGACTTCACCGCGATGAGGCGAGAAATAGTCGATGAGGGAGTACGACGGATCACATGGTCTCGGGCAGCTCTGACGGCACCCCGCATCATTCGCTCGTGGAAGTCCAGCAGGAGAGGAGGGGATAAACCAGACGTGTCCGCGGCGGCAGAAACCTTGGACACATACCCCGAAGAAGCAAGATGTTGTAGACCCCGGGATGGATGGCTCCCTGGTCGCCGGGAAGGGGAAGACGGGGTTTCACCTGGGCCGCCAAGGCCGCGTGGTCCGAGAGCCCAGCGCGGTTCATCACATCTGGAGATCCCTTGACGTTGGCGGTCGCGTCGAGCTGCGTCAACGCCCAGCCAGGCATCGTAGTGAAGATCCTGTCGATCGCGGACAGGGCACCTTGAGCTGCACGGTAGCGGGTAGGCCCCACCATCGCGAACTCCACTGGATTCCGAAGGCACCGCTCCCATTCCCGATGTCGCTGGCGTCTTTTTTGGCTGGGGCGGGGGCCCAGGAGGGCCAGGGGAATCAAGGCCCGCGGAGTCCAGGGACGCAGCGGTAACAGGTGGGGGCCCAGAAATGTTGATGTCGCCCTGGAGGATGAGGATCTTCTGACGCGGTGCTTCCAGAACCCTCAGACGGTCGGCCTCAATCCTGGCCAGCCAAAGGTTGGTCCCTGACAGCTGCGGTAAGCCCAAAACTGCGAATGTTGTAATGAACCAAGTCGACGCCCCGAGAGAACTTGACAAGAATTTGCAAAACTCTGCCCTGGACCAAAACCTCTGGGATAACCTCTGGCTTGTTTTGGAGGTGGCTGTCGCTGAAGTCGGGGACGAAGGCAATCACACCCCCCGCTGGATATGGGAGCTCAGGGAGAAACGAAGAGAGCGCAAGGATTGGCTCTCGGAGGTGATGGACAAAATCCTGGAGAGCAGCTGGGGACCCGCGCGCTTCCTGAGCACTAACTACGGCACCCGGCACAAGTAGACGGCTGAGGTAGGAGAATTGCTTGGCCCGAAGAGAAAGATTGTGGTAGAGTGGCGAGCGAGCATTCCGCGCGCCCATGGAGAGAGTGCGGGGGCGGGATGGAGAACCTTGCCATTGCCCAAAACTGCATTACCCACTCCACTGAACGGGCTCAGGCCCGCATAGATACTGACGGATCGCCTGCTCAAGTCTCGGCCTGTCGATCTGCCGCAGGACGACGCCCCCCATCGCCCAAGAGACCTTCGGAGGGTTCTCGTGCTGAGGCTCGACACGGAGGATCGGCTTCCATGCGATCGATAGTTCCCCGCGTTCTTTGTTGGCGAAGATCCGTTTCCCTGGATGGATGTTCTCGACATCCCGAGGGATCTGTTTGAGGAGCAACTCCTTCTTAATATGACACTGAGACTTGTCCGACGACACATGAATCTCGACGGGGCCCCCCTCGACGTCGGCCGTCTGGAGTCGTTCCCACTGCTGCGGGCCTTTCCGCAACGCGGCAATAGCCATCCCCACTTTACGTGCTGCGTAATGAGCATTTCTGTTGGCACGAAGTTGGACGCGCCTCGCCACTGGGTCACCCTCAACCTCGATCTCTTCTTCTGGAAGGGCTGCACGTCGAAGCCACGCACGCAGAGCAGGAACGAGATACTGTTTGGCGGCGTTGGTCCTCGTACGCGCCACGATGATACATGGATCAGGAGCGCGATCGAATAAGTTTACAAAGGGACGGCTGGTTCTGGGGGCTTCTCCGAACGCATGATCCCGAGCATCTTCTGCAACTCTGCGATCGACCCCTCCATTCTGCTCATCCTGGTGTGTGCCTTCTTCTGCGCTGACTCGACCTGGCACACTCTGTGTTCGAACTGACGAGAGAGCGAAGCACACGATGACTGCACCGTCGACGCGAGGCTGGAAACTGACTGCTAGACTTGAGCGGTGAAGGCAAGCATGTTCCTCGTACTCTCATCAACATGGGTACGCAATTCACTGAGTTGATCACCTCCATCTGCGGGGGGCAATTCGGCATCCTCACGTGAGCCCACGGGGAGCGGTGCAGTGCGGCTCCTGCTGCGATGAAAGGGATCAGGAGCAGCAACACGAGGAGGCGGACGAACCTGGGACACCTGCGACGGGAAGGTGGGCATCTCGTCCATGGCCTGGAGGGAGGCGGCCTCCACTGGGATGAAATCACTGTCTCCGACATTTGACATCCTGCGCTGGCTACGCTGGTAGCGGCACCCACAAGGAAGCAAACAAGAGAGTGGAGAAAGTACGCAGCGCCTGGGCAAGCTCCTGCGCGGGACGAGAAAAGTCCGCCAGCGCACGACACGCTGGATAGAGAGCTGAGAGCTGCCCGCTCGCAATGGGACCTGTTCCCATCTTGAGCCAAAATGGCAACGGACCTCTTCCTCCTCCTACTCCTCCTCCTCCTCCTCCTCCTCCTCCTCCTCCTCCTCCTCCTCCTCCTCCTCCTCCTCCTCCTCCTCCTCCACCTCCTCTCCTCCTCCTCCTCCTCCTCCTCCTCCTCCTCCTCCTCCTCCTCCTCCTCCTCCTCCTCCTCCTCCTCCTCCTCCTCCTCCTCCTCCTCCTCCTCCTCCCCCTCCCCATCCTCATCCTCGTCCTCCGCATCGTCATCCTCCTCCTCGTCTTTCCCTCTTCCCCTCCCCCTGCACCCGCCGGCCTGCGCTGGAGAGAGCGCCGCCTCCTCGCCTCGTCGGTCTACGCCTCCTGCGGGGTCTGGGCGGCAGTCAGACGGCCGCTGGCGGGTGTGGAGCACACGCGGTGCTCCCGGTCCCCCTGGAGAGCATGCAGCAAACAGCTCCGCCTCGCCAGCGGAACGTTCGATGGCAACTCATGGGAGTCTCCCATACCATCTTGTCGGCTCTTGCGAATCGACGCTCATCGACGCTGAATCGACGCGAGATCGACGCTACGTCGGCGCTACCTCGTCGACTCCCAGGCGCGAATCGACGCTGAAGACAAACTTCAGAGAGTCTGCCAGGCGCCCATGACTTGCTGCCGCATCACGGGGCGCGTGCACGCCCCAGGCAAGCACCTGGAGGCATCCTGCTGCGGCAGGCTCGCGGGGCGCTGACGTCGGCGCTGGCCTCCGAGGCGAGCGCTGGCTCCGCCGACGGCTGGCCTCGCCGACGGCCGGTTTCGCCCGGCTGGTTCCGCCCGGCTGGTTTCGCCGCCCGGCGACACCAGCTGCCGTCGGCGAAGCCAGCTGCCGTCGGCGAAACCAGCTGCCGTCGGCGAAACCAGCTGCCGTCGGCGAAACTACCCGAGCCGACCCGCGCGCTAGGGTCCGCCCGGCCGACCCGACCCGCCCGTGAGGGTTCGCGCGTGCTCGGTCGAGCGCGCCCCGCACTTTAATGTCCCGCCCGCCCGACCCGACCCGCTCGTTGGGGTCCGCCCGCCCGACCCGACCCGCCCGCTAGGGTCCTCCCGCCCGACCCGACCCGCCCGTCAGGGCTCGCGTCGGCGAAACCAGCACCAGCGAAACCAGCGCCGGCGAAACCAGCCGCCGGCGAAACCAGCGGGGCGATACCAGCGCACGCGAAACCAGCCGTCGGCGAAACCAGCGGGGCGAAACCAGCGCCGGCGAAACCAGCTCATGCCGTCTCTGACACCCCGTGGATCGTCCAACCTGGAACGATCGCGGCTTCACGATGGCTCAGATCGCTCGACACTGGCCGGTTCTGGGCCACTGGCGGCGTCCAAGCTTGAACGCCCGAGCTGGCGTCGCCGCCGCGTCAACGCGGCGCGAAACTGCCGCAGCACGAGAAAGCGTGAGACCCACGACCGGGTGGCGGAGGCGAGCTGGACCAGGGCACCACGCGGGGGGCACCGCGCGCCTCTCCGGATCGGACACGGCATCTAATCGGGAAAGCCTGCCGAATGCGTCGGATCGGGCTGCCATCGGCACGGAACGAACAAGCCTGCTTGCGTCGGCGGCGGGGCAAGGGTCGTCTGCGCCAGCGGAGAGGCCCGAACGGGGATACCGCTGAAGCGAACTGTGCCACCATGCAGGAGGGAGGGGAAGAGCGGGGGACGCGGCCGAAAGAGGGAGCGGAGAGAGCGAGCCGCGCTCAGAGGGACGGGGGCGGTACGAACAAGCAAAACGACGCGCGAGTCGCCCCTGCCGGGGCACGGCCTGGCCCGCGGCCTGCGCGGAGCGGCCGTGGCCGCCAGCTCCATCGGCCCGCTGAGCTCCACCGGCACGGAGCCGGGAGCGCCTCGGATCGGCCGCGCCGGGCTGCACAGCAACGCCGTGCGAGCGTCGGGCCGCATCGGAGCGTCGGAGCATCGCAGCTGGGCGGGCCGAAGCCGACAGGGAGTCGGGTCGATCGAATCGAAAGAGGCCCAGGGACACACAACTCCGCCGACCCTGTCGGCGTGCGGAGGACGCTCTTCTGCTCCTCGTCCTCGTCTGCGAGGGCCCCGAATCGCCGAACGATCGGTCCACCCGTCGCCGCGCCCTTCCTTTCCCCGGGCCCTCCCTGGGCCCTCCTCCTCAAGCGCGCTAGTCACAACGAAATTGAACAACGTCGCAGTTGAGTCGACGGGAAGCCCCTTCCCTTTGATTCCTTTTCCGCCGGGAGGGGGGGGTTACCGGGTCCGTGGGGAGGGGGTCCCGACCCAGAATACCATCCCCCCTGGGGATCCTGGGCCCCAAAACGCTTCGAACGCAGACAACGAGTGCCTCAAGAAGCTTCCGAGACGGTCCAACAGGGCCTCGAATCGCCGAACGATCGGTTCAACCGTCGCCTCTCCTTTCCTTTCCCTGGGCCCTCCCTGAGCTCTCCTCCTCGAGCGCGCCAGTCACAACGAAATTGAACAACGTCGTAGTTGAGTCGAAGGGAAGCCCCTTCCCTTTGTGTCCTTTTCCGCCGGGAGGGGGGTGGGGAATCGCGGGCCTGTGGGGGGGGGGTCCCGACCCAGAATACCATCCTCCCTCCCTGGCGATCCCAGCCTGGGCTCTCCTCCTAAAGCGCGCCAGTCACAACGAAATTGAACAACGTCGTAGTTGAGTCGAAGGGAAGCCCCTTCCCTTTGATGCCTTCCCCGCCGGGGGGGAGGGGGGGGATCCCGGGTCTGTGGGGGGAGGAGTCCCAACCCAGAATACCATCCCTCCCTGGTGCTCCCAGCCTGGGCTCTCCTCCTCAAGCGCGCCAGTCACAACGAAATTGAACAACGTCGTAGTTGAGTCGAAGGGAAGCCCCTTCCCTTTGATCCCTTCCCCGGCGGGGGGGGGGTCCCGGGTCGTTGGGGGGGGGGGGCCCAACCCAGAATACCAACCCCCCCCTGGGGATCCCAGCCTGGGCTCTCCTCAAGCGCGCTAAACACAACAAAATTGAACAACGTCGTAGTTGAGTCAAAGGGAAGCCCCTTCCCTTTGATATCTTCCCCGGCGCGGGGGAGGAGGGGGGTCGCGGGCCTGTTGGGGGGAAGGTCCCGACCCAGAATACCATCCCTCCCTGGCGATCCCAGCCTGGGCTCTCCTCCTCAAGCGCGCCAGTCACAACGAAATTGAACAACGTCGTAGTTGAGTCGAAAGGAAGCCCCTTCCCTTTGATCCCTTCCCCGCTGGGGGGTCCCGACCCAGAATACCGTCCCCACCTGGCGATCCCAGCCTGGGCTCTCCTCCCCAAGCGCGCCAGTCACAACGAAATTGAACAACGTCGTAGTTGAGTCGAAGGGAAGCCCCTTCCCGTTGATGCCTTCCCCGCTGGGGGGTCCCGACCCAGAATACCGTCCCCACCTGGCGATCCCAGCCTGGGCTCTCCTCCCCAAGCGCGCCAGCCACAGCGAAATTGAACAACGTCGTAGTTGAGCCACCAGCACACACGGCGGCCCGTGAAAGAAGACACGCGCCGACCACCCGCCGCCCCCCTCGGCAGGGTGCAACGCTCGGAACGGCGTCAACAGCCATCCCGAAGGCTCCCATAGTGTCCCAACGGACCCCAAAGAGAGCCCCCCTCGGCAACACGGGAAGACCCCGAAGCGGCCCAGGAGGGGCCCGGAACATCCGAGAAGGACTCCGAGAACGCCCTTAGGCCACCACAAATGGCCCCCAGGACACTCCAAAAGCGCCCCCAAGCGGCTCAAGCCGCCATCCACAGCGCACCAGCGCCCGAGGTCCAGTTGGTCGGGCAGAGACTTTTTGTCCCCCTCCTCTCCCTCCCATTCCCGTCGAAAGCCCAGGCCTCCAGGGGCGGCAGCACCGGCCGTAAGGCCTTCGCAATAAATACACACAAATCCCAGGATTCCCCATAGTTTCCCATTTTTGTTTTTGAGTTTCGTCTTCCCCCCCACTTTCCATATTTTCCCATATTTTCCTGGGAGTCGACGATTCATTGTGTCTGTGTGACGCACACATAGTAGAAGTTACTCTGGGTGATGCCGACTCACGCGCCCCAGACTCACCGAGAGGCGCTCTGAGCCAACAAGCACGGCAGTTCCAAGATCCGGCGGCGCGCCGAGGGGAAGTCTGAGGGGGGGCGGACCTTCGTAGAAGACGGCCTGCCTTCTCAGAAGCTCTCCTGCGGCTTCGGAGGAGGCCCCCAGAAAGTTTCTCGGAAGGCCGCAGGCCTTCCGAGCCCTCTGAGAGTGCCTGCCCCCTCTGCCTCCCCCCCTTGGGCGCGCCTCTGACAAGAGGCATTCTGAGTTAAACACGACAGCTTTAAGATGGCCCCGGCGAGCTCCGAGGACACTCCATGGACTCACGCCTGTTTGCTTCGGGGACCGCGCGAAGCGCCCAAGCACGACCCACATGTCTTTCATCATCTGGGACACCCGAACGGTGCCGAGGAGCGCGATATCTACCCTGAGCCGCACCCCGGGAGCTTATGGACACTAGTAGGTTCATTTCGAGTTGAGGACGATAGAGAGATAATATGCTGGCGTCGTCGCTATGCAAAATATGCAAGCGGTTATCTGTTTCTAAAGGTGGCCTTAGCCTTGATCGTCGCTATGGCACTAAAGGCCCAACGACGTCGGCTGGCCGATTCCGTGTGAGACTGCGCAGGCGATCAGACGTCGCAGTGGCAGCACCCCTCTTCCCCATCCGCGACGCGGCGATGCGCCACGCAAGAACGCGCCCACCCTTCGCCTTGCGGGGGTGGTCAGGGCGAGTGCACACTCTGGCCCTGAAACTGCTGAAAGCCATCGTCACAGGACGGGCGTCTCGCCGCAAGGAACACGACCTGCGACTGCCTTCGTCTCCCAAACCCGACTCCAAGACGGACATGATTGTAACCAGCACGCAGCGATTCGTGCGCCGTGCCGCAGTTGTTCATAACCCATCCCCATGGCCGGCGCTCCGAAAGGATGATGATAGAGCCCCAGAAGCTGCGCAGCATATGCCGAGGGCACAATGCATGGCGATGGAAGAAAACGATCAGGTCATAAAGCAGGCTTCGCGATGTCGAAAGTTCTCCGGAGCACGCCGCGATTACGCCGCAATCCCGCTGACATGATTGAAAAACCCACGACACGCACCCCTGACAACCCTGGTGGGAAGATCACCCTGGGAAGCCTGTCACCAGCAGGCTTGTTCAGCCCCAGCAGGGGCAATGACCCCAACCCCAGCCCCAGCCACACTAGCGAACCATGCGCCCGATGTGAAAACTGGCCGTTACGAACACACTTACTGGACACAAAAAAGGCACAGTCCGAGCAACGTGGACAACAAAAAAAACGCCCCGCAAAGGGAGCGCGCGCTCGGTCGATCGATCCCGCACGACCGCGGAGGGTTCCCTGCACGTGATCAGCACCATCCTGGAAGGATATGGGCCATTCAGAAAACGGCATTGCCGATGTATCCTAGCTGGGACGCTCCTCTCGCGTCAACATTGAACCAGGCGCTCGCCGGCAAGGATCCCACGGGTGGTCAACAGCGGCATGACAGCGCAGCGCACCCCGCCTCCACTGGGTGGAGAGAGTGCCACCGCTGGGCGAATCACGCGCGCGTTGGCTACGCGCGCAATCGCGATCTATGGTATGACTGGCATCCTCGTCGCCGCGGGTCTCCCTGACGCCGAAGCTGCCCCGCAATCCGAACGCCTCCCCTGCCTTAAACGGAACGTCACCGACAAAGCTCGAAGAAACCAGTATGGCGCATCTGGGCCCCCCCTTTTCAGCATCGACGTGACGCGGTTGTCCGGCGACAGTGCGAGTCTGCAGGTCCATGCAATACTGAACTCGTGCGTATGGTGATCAAGAATCGTGCGTACGAGCTGCCGATCACATGGAAAGTGATACAGTTCGCGGGCCCAACGGGTCAGCGGCGTATGACATGCTCCTCCTCCTGGAAAGGGCAAGTAGTGCGGCCTTATTTCCGCACCTCATGGCTTGGATCCTCTTTTCGAGCAGGGCGCCAGTTGCTGCTCCTCCTCTCCCACCCTCCTCTCTCTTCTCGTTGCCCCTTGGGGCATCGCTCTGGTCGATGGTCAGAATTGTGTCCCCCTTTTTTGCTCCTCGCTTCTGTCGCGACGTCCCTGCATCGCTCCCGCTGGGTCCCACCCAGCGCGCAACCGCAGCCGCGAGGCTGCGCCCCCCCCCAAAAAAACACACACACACACACACAGACCACACGGGGACCTCCCCCGCCCTGGATGCTGCTTGGCGCGCAGCTGTTGCTGCGCTGTCGCTGCTTTGCTCCGCCCCCGAGAGGTCCAGTGTAGCGGCGTCCCACTAGAGGCCTCCTAGATGGGGTCCGAGTAGATGGGGTCGAAGGATGGCGCCACATCGCCAATGCATCGCCGACGCATCAGCGATGCATCGGCGATGCATCGGCGACGTCGGCGATGCGTCGGCGCCATCGGCGTGGAGGAAGTCGGGCTCCACATCGAGCCGCATCGCCGATGCGTCGGCGATGCAGCGCGATCCTCCGACCCGCTCTACTCCGACGCCATCTGGGAGGCCTAGGCCCACGCAGACCAGGCGGGACATCGCCATCCATGCTCACGATTCCTCCTCCTCCTCCTCGCCGCCACGCGGTTTCCCCCTTCCCCGGGTGTCCTCATCTGACATTGCCTCAAGCGGACCCCTCTGAGCGTGCAATGCCACGGCTGCCCATATTGCTCCAACGAGGTTAACCCATGTCCTGCCGTACATTCAATCATTCGTACTGATTCGGCCCGTTGACGGTGGCGGTTGCTGCAGATGGGCTTGGTAATGTCCGAGGTAATGTTCAAGCTGCGTCCGCGTTCCAAACCGCTCCAGGGTGCCCCGACAGATGAATCTGGTTATACCTCGTAGGCCACCTTTCGGGCGATAAGGAGGTCGGGGGATGGGCGCAGCGCTCGGACTGCGACTGGCGTCCGATCGGATTCGCAATGTGTGCCCATCGGCCTCGCTATCGACCGATATCACTACAGACCCGCCAAACTCACGATCGAGCTACAAAGATCACTGCCTACATATTAGAACCACTACCTCGGTATCGACCTCGCTTCACGTACACCGATACCTTGTCTAACGGTCGCACCATCCCCAGGGATGTCATTATCATCTATATGCCAAGCTCTCGACTCATTGACGGAGTTAACTCGACCACAGTGCCTCCTGGCACGTTGAGGCGTGGTAGAATGCCGAGTGCTGCTTGCAGACTTCTGCGTGCATTCCCCCCTTCCCGAGGCCACGACCTCTCGTACAAAACGATGCATCTGCGCTCCCGAGGCCGCGATCCCTAAACGTCTGAGCTCCCGAGGTCACGACCTCTCGGAACAAAACGATGGACAGGCGAACCCGAGGCCACGATCCCTCGCAAAAAAATGTGGGTCAGCGCTCTCGAGTTTCCAAGACGGTCGGGACAGGCAACCAAGGCCTCCAAGACGGCCCGGATGGCCCAAGGTGGCCCAATGTAGCCTCAAGACGACCTAGTAGAAGGCCCCAAAGGCGGCCCAAGAGCGCCACAAGAGGATCCCCAGTAGGGCCCGACGAGACCAGCATCACGTACTGCCCTGCGGTGTTTCAGGTTCGTGGCGTTTTCACCTCCTCGGGCTTCCTGCAGCCGCAGACGGCCTCAGAGGCCTCCAAAATCGCCCCAAGACGGCCCAAGAAAGTCCATAAAGCCTCCTCCTCCTCCTCCTCCTCCTCCCCCTCTTCCTCCTCCTCCTCCTCCTCCTCCTCCTCCTCCTCCTCCTCCTCCTCCTCCTCCTCCTCCCAATGATCCTCCAAGGCTGCCTCAAAACAGCCCAAGAGGGCCTCCAGGCGACCCCAAAAGAGAGGTCCAGGCTGAACCGCTTCGTCGCAAACCGCACCCGCTTCGGGGCACTATCCTCCTTACATACCACGTGCATGTAGCGCAGCCCCTTCAAACAGAGAAAGCGAAGACGGATGGAACGGGAGAGAGAAAGTTGGAGCACGAGAGAAATTAGCAGGAGGGGGGCTAGGAGCAGAAGCACGTGGCAGAACCAGACGGGCAGATCGGGCCGGCAGACCGTAGCGGGCGAGTCGGGAAGGCGGGCCCAGGCGGCCAGGTCGAGCAGGCGGGTTGCTGAAGCGTGAGTCCTGCATGAATCGCGAGGACGTCTCGAGCGATAGCACGATTCCCAAAGAAACTGTGGGGGAATCCATAGCGAGAGCGTGAAATCTGAGTGTCGAGGGCGCGGCGTCTGAATAAATTGCGAAGATGTCCCACGCGAGAACGCGATTCCTGCATAAAGTGTGAGGAAGTCCTGCGCAACAGCACGATTTTGGAATGAATTGTAAGGAATATCAAGCGGCAGCCGCTGTTGTTGTTGTAGTAGTTCAGGGGCCAGGGGCCCAGTTTGAGCACGAAGACGCTCCCTGATAAAAAACCGAGTGCGAGCCCCGAGGGGGGCACTTCAATTGAAGAAACACGTTGTGCACCAGTGGGGGGGATCAACAATAATTATTCTTCAAGAAGGAGAACTCAGCAGCAGCAGCAGCAGCAGCAACAGCAACAGCAACACACAACAACAACAACAACAACAACAACAACAACAACAACAACAACAACAACAATCATTTTACCCGAACGCTCAGTGTTCTCCCCAGTGCCAGGGTTTTCTTGCGACACCAGCCAATACCCCCACTTCGTGGGGGGGCCGTTCAAGCTCTACCAAATATCCAAACGACTCTTCGAGACCACCCACACCCAGCTTCCCGCCCTATGACGTTGGGACACTTCACTTCGTGGCGTGCGGACGACCCTGGCTACTACACTGGCGTGGGGTACACACCCACAGAGGTTGATCACATCTGTTACATATGATGTGGTACACGGTACACGTGAGATGGTACGCAGTGCCAAGATAGTTGGTCACATTTTTGGGGCAAATTCGTGGGGATGCGATTACAGAAGTACATGTGTTACACTGATGTTATACAGTCCCAAGGATGACGCATGCATTGCTCATAGACTCATGGCGCTATGATCCTAACTCTCAGTGCCCAACGCGCGCGTGCACAGCCAGACGGAGGGAGAGAAACACATGTATACAAGGTTCGTGACATACGCACGGTCCACCATGTTGTAAACGATCGCATGCACGGTAAGTTCTGAAATTATACGTATGTACAAGCAGACATGCGAGGGAGAAAGGGAGATGGCCATCGACAGTTCCAATACGGCTCCAAGGCGGAAGAGGGGGAGGAGGAGCAGGACAAGGAGGAAAGGAGAGAAGCGAGAAAGGAAGAACGCAGACGGCGCGGCTCTGGACACAAAGGGATGGTGGCCCTCGCAGGCGCGCAACCGTTGTTGGAGAAGTTCAAAGCACCTGAAGAAGTAGCACGCAAAGACCCTTTTGACAGAAATGTTTAAAAAGTGGTGTGTTTCCTATGAATCCGCAAGAGCGCGCGGAAGGACATTTTGACAATTTTTTCTTAAAAAACCATTGGGTTTTTGATGTTTTTATGTTAAAATCGCTACGAAACCTAAGGTTTTGGAAGGATTTCGTCTTGCGAGCGCGAATGTCCACTTTACCTTATTTTTTGCAAGGGATTCTTGAAATTTGATCAACTAAGAACAAGAATTTTCATTTTCTATTGTTTTTTGCAAGGGAAAACGAGCGTCAACAAAAAACCGGATCCGGGGGTAATCCACTTTTCTGAAGCTTTCGCAGAAAAATGATGAAAATGTAGCTGCGGCCTAGGTTTTGGGCGGGGGGCGTGCACCAGGGGGTCCAACAATAATAATTCTTTAGAAGTAATAATGTTCAACAACAACAACAACAACAACAACAACAACAACAACAGCAACAACAACAACAACCACAACAACAACAGCAACAACAACAACAACAACAACCACCACCACCACCACCACCACCACCACCACCACAACAACAACAACAACACAACAACAAGAAATATAATAACAACAACAACAACAACAACAACAACAACAACAACAACAACAACAACAACAACAACAACAACCACCACCACCACAACAACAACAACAACAACAACAACCACAACAACCACAACAACAACAACAACTACAACAGCATCAGCATCAGCAACAGCAACAGCAACAACAACAACAAGAAAGCCGAAGTCCTCGAACTCCAGTCCTCGAGCCTCAGCCGCCCCCCCAACGGCTTGCGATCCTTGCGCAGGGCCTGCTCCTTCTCCTCCGCCAGGCCACGGAGGACGTCGACGAGTATATCGTCATCATCCTGGGCATGGGTGTCCGCTTCCGACACAGAGGATGTCGTCGTCTGCATCGTCTGCGTCGTCGGGGGAAGGAAGAAGAAGAAGAAGAAAAAACAAAAACAAAAAAAAAAAAAGTGCCCGAGCAAGAACCACTTAACCATTAGGCACTCGGGGTCCACGTTTGCGGACTTCCCGAAGATAAATGCTCGCCCTCCTTCCCCGTTGTCCTCGTCCGTCTAGAACACGCCTACACCCCTGCCGCTTCCGGCCCCCCTGGGCTCCCGCACTGCTTGATGGGCTCCACCCTTGCTGCCCAGGCACGGGGTGCCCGCGCAAGAGCCGCCGGACCTGTCTGAGCCCTCGGGGTCCACGGGGTCCCGCCCGCATCCTCTCGTGTCCCCCCGCTCATATCTTGCCCCACTGCTGCTCCCATCCTCGGTCGCCCCCCTCGGGGCGCTGCTCCGTCGCCCGCCCGAGGCAGCTTCTCCCGTCGCCCCCCTCGGCGAGCCCCTGCCCCGCACACGCAGCGGCACGTGCGCGTGCCCAGGGAGGCGGCAGGGGCGCGCACTGCCTGGCCGCACAAAGCACGGCGCAATTCCCGGTTGGGAGACCCGGCCCCCTGGGGACAGGGCATGCGATACGATACGATACGGAAGCCGGGCATCCATGACGGGCGCGTGGGCAGAGCGCGGTTCAAAAGTTGCCAGGGCCGCCCCCGGCGCGCCAAGTAGGGGGAAGGGAGAATGGGGAGGGAGGGAGGGAGGGAGGGAGGAGGAGAAAGGGTGGACAGGGCATGCGCAGAGCAATTTCCCACAGCCGGATCCCCTAGCTTCTTCGGGGGCCCGCTGCAGTGGAACGCCTACCATAGTCCTACCATAGGCCTACCTTCAGCTTACCATAGGTCTACGGTAGGCCTACAGGTCGCCTACAGGTAGACCTACATCAGGCCTGTGCATAGCGTATGCATGCTCTGGGTTTTTGTAATAAGCGTGGTGGGGAACCCCGCCGACGAGGGTCCACCTCGCCTCGCCGTCGCGCCGCGACGGGGGTCGGAGCGCCTTCGGCGCGCGGTGGCTGCCCGCGACGGTGGTCGATGTGGGGCTGTCCGGCAGGGGTGCCGCCCCCCCGACGCTCATGAAGAAACTCGTCGTAGGTCTACAGCGACCCATGGTAGGCCATGCATCGGCTGGGTAGTCGAAGCCAGTCTGGCGCCAATCTGGCAGGCCCAATCTGGCAAGCGGGGGCAATCTGGCGAGGGAGCCCACGCGGATCCAGTCTGGCGGATCACCCAAATCATCCAGTTTGGCCAAGCCAGATTGGCCCTTGGGGCCCAATCCAATCTGACAGTCTGGCCTTCGACTACCCAGATAGGCTGTAGCTGGGATCCTTGATTGCCCTGGGGAAGGGCGTGCGCAGGACAATGTCCCGCGGCTGGATCCGCTGGCTTCTTCGGGGGCACCGTTGCAGTGCCCGCTCTTTGCCCGTCGTGCCGGCGCCCATCTCTTGCGCTTGGACTGCCGCAGCAAGACAGAGCAGGAGCAGGAGGGGAAGGAGGGGGAGGAGGAGGGAAGGGGGAGGGGGAGGAGGAGGAGGAGGAGGAGAAGAAGGAGGAGGAGGAGGAGGAGAAGAAGAAGGGAAGGGGGAAGAGGAGGAGAAGGAGGAAGAGGAGGAGGAGAAGAAGGAAAAGGAGGAGGAGGGAAGAGGAGGAGCAGCAGGAGGAGGAGGGACAGGGGAGGGGAAGAGGAGGAGGAGGAGGAGGAGGAGAAGGAAGAGGAGGGAGAGGAGGGGGAAGAAGAGGAGGAGCAGAAGGACGACGACGACGACGACGACGACGTTGTGTTGGACGGGCTTGGGAGGTCATCTTCCTCCTCCTGCTCCTCATCCTCCTCATCATCGTCATCCTGCTCCTCCTCCTCCTCCTCTTCCTCATCCTCCTCCATTCGCTTTCCTTATAGATAACTCCTCCCTGCCGCACGCCCAGATCACTCGGTAGGGCGGTTCGGGCGTGTCGCCTGAGACTCACTCCCAACTTCTGACCCTGAAACTTTTAAACTTGTAACAGCTCTACGGATGGAGGTCATTTCCAAAATGGAACTCTGGCCGCAGCGCCGCGCACACTCCACTGCACAGCTTTGAACAGCCATAAAGATGGAGCGTGGAGCGGAGCTCTCGCCATGGCGTCGTGCACACTCGTTTGAAACATACAGCCGTCGCAGAGACGGACGGCAATTCCTGTTCAAAGGGAGCTCTGGCCACAGCGCCACGCATGCTCGTTCTAAAACCTGCAGCCGGTTCCTTTCCACCGTAGGGGGCTCTCGCCTTCGCGCGGCGCGCGCAGTCGGCTCGGAAGCCTGCACCCGTCACAGGAATGCAGGGCGGCTCCCTCTTCCAAAACCGAGGCCCTCGCCCGGGCGCCGCGCGCAGCAAGTCCTGAAGGCTTGCAGCGGCTGCAAGGATGGAGGGCGGCTGCTTTTCAAGGTGGGTCTCTCGCTACTTTTCGCAACGGAGGCTCTCGCATCAGCGCCGTGCATGTTCGTCTTAAGCGCTTGCGACCTGTATAGGGAGGGAGGGAGGGCGGCTCCCGATCAGGATGCGGTTCCCTCCTAATAAGATCTCCATGAAGTGAACCACCAGCACGTTGAACATGTGTAACAAGGGCGCGGATGGAGGGCGGTTCCTTTCCAAAGTTGCGCTTTCGCGTTGGACTTCCTCAAACGCAGCAACCCGAAAAAAGGTTGCGCAATAGTTGCGCGGATGGGGGGGGAAACTCCATGCTTTAGTGGGACCATCGTTGGACGCATACTCGCTGGAAGGACGCAAAGAAGTTCGATGTCAAAACGGGGATATCGCCCCAATGCGAGGCACACACCTTGCTCGTAAGTCAAGTGGGCGTTTCTTCTGTTGAGTAGAAGGCTTGAAAGGGTTGTAAGGGGATTGTGACGGAGAGAGACTATTCCACCATCGTTGACACATCTTGGGTTTACATTGGTCCTCTTCATCTTCCTCCTCATTCCGACCTCCATCAACCTCACCATCATCATGATGGCTATCGTCATCGCCATTAGATCACTACTACCCATTATCACCGCTGTCGTGGTCATCGCCACCACCACCACAAACATCATCATGACCATCACCGGCATCACCATCCTACTCATGATCACCGATGCCAGTATCGCCTTCGTCTTCATCATCATCATCATCAGCAGCAGCAGCAGCATCCTCATCAGCATCATCATCATCAACCATCAATAATCATCAGCATCCTCGTCTTCATGATCCGCATCATCATCATCATCATCATCATCAGCACCATCATCATCATCGTCAGCAGCAGCAGCATCATCAGCATCACCATCACCATCAGCATGACCTTCGCTCTCCTCGTCCTGCCTCCCCATCCTCCTCCGCTTCCTCCTCCTCCACCTCCTCCTCCTCCTCACCTCCATCCTCCCTCATCCATCCGATCCTCCATTCTATCCTCCTCCTCCTCCTCCTCCTCCTTCTCCCTTTCCTCCTCCTCCTCCTCTTCTTCCTCCTCCTCCTCCTCGTCCTCTCTCAAGCGCATGTGGCTCGATCTGTTCGTACCTTTGGGATTCGGTTGCGCACAGTCACGCCCCTCGCCTTCTCGTGGCGCTGGGGGACGTCAAGGCGGCTGGACTCGAAGCGGGTTGGGCTTCTCTCGTCGACGAAGAAGAGGCGAAGTGGTTCCAGGTCAATGTCTATCTTTTTCGTGAACATCATGAGCGGTTTCGATACTCGCCTGGCGGCAGCGGAAGGTCCCGCTTCTCAAGCTCGACTTGCATGTGAGGCCTCGGACATCGAGACGACCATGATGGAGCAGGATGCAGGATTTAGCCTGAGGCTGCTTGGATTTCGCACCGCAAGCCAGGGATGCGTTCGAATTCTACGAGGACGTGGGCTTGGCACAGATTCCGACAGTGGTGATTACCTCGTGTATTCGCCCTCCAGCGTCTTGCTTGGAAAACCTTGGCTCGTTACTGCGGAAATACACGGAGTATGCGCCTGACGTCGTCAAGAGAAGGGCCGTGTACGACTGCAGGGCGTTCGAGGCTGTACTCGGGCAGCTTCCGCCTGCGACGGCGATCTTCATCGGTCAGCGTACGGACCTCATCGGGATGGGGGCACGGCAGCACCTGTGGCGTCTGTGGGACAGGTGCCGGGGTGTCGGCCCAAAGCGAGCAATCACGGACCTCATGGACCGTTGCATCGTCTTCAGGGTGGGCATGGCTTGGTTGCGGAGGTCAGCGCGGGCGGCCCGATCGATCCTGCTCAGATCGTGCGCAGGGATGGTGTGCTCGACCTTGTCAGTTTGCGCACTACAGCACGCTCAACGGGTGGAAGATCCCCTTCCGGCAGAATGGGATGGGTCTTTAGCTCATGCATGCACTCCCAGTGTTCTTGCTAACGCACGTCCGAAGAAGGTTCCAGCGACACGGGTGGCGACCGAGCGTGAGCCCTTCAGCCTGAGTTTCCGTGGCGGATACATTGGGACGTACGTTTATTTGCACGACTTCGCGAAGGACCACAGGGTCAAGCAGATTATGGAGTTCTTGCGCAGCAACAAAGGCGCTCCGCTCTAGACAGAGGACGGAGTTGCGCCAGGTACCCTCCAACCACATGCTAATCTCAACACGGCCGTGATGTGGATGTTCACATCGGTGGTGTGCACGAGGTCGCCAAGCAGCAGTCGGCTTGGCAGCGGCCCGATTGAGGGGCCTGTGGTTTGAAGCTGTTTACATCCTACAGCTGCGGGCGGCGCCTCTCAAGGGCATCATGCACAACGGGTACAGGGCTGCATCATCTGTGGCACCGAGTGCATAGATTTCGGCCTTGCGGCAACGGGGGTGGGGGCAGCCTGGTGGTGCAGTTACCCACCCGTCCGGAGCGCTTCAGTTCATTGATGTCTGGTGGGCGGGCTGCAGCTGTCAGTCACTGTTTTCAGTGTTTATGTGGTCACCTCGCTGGTAAATTCGGACTTCGGTAGCAGGTTCGTAGTACA